GCAAAATGTGCCGAGGCTGCTCGGGAGAGGAGCGGGGGCTGCGCTGAGCCAGGTAGGAGCCGCCCAGCGGGGAAGGCTGGCTGGCGCCTGGGGAACCCACGGCCCGCGCCCTTGGTAGCCCAGCCGGGCTGGGATGGTCCGTTAGTTAGGGCGCCCCTAACTCGTCCTCCAAGCGCCTTACTTTCTCGGTTCCTGAGAAATTGACAGGTTACCGTGTCAGTGGATCTTTCCCAAGAAGGGGCAAGGCCGGCATTCCCATTTGACAGGTGGGAAAACAGTTGTCTCACGCCCAGGATTGCCCAGGAACACAGTCAAGGGTAGCTCGGGACCTGGATTCGGGTCCCCTCCAATCCTCTGCTCCTCCTGCTCCAGACTCAACGTGGGCTTCCCATCTCGCTGCCCCGGGTTACTCTGCCTGTTTCTCCGCTCTCCCAGGGGCTTGAAGCCAGCCTTCCTCATGGAGGGTGAGATGTGAGGACCCCCAACCCCCACGTCTAGCTGGCTGAAACTGCGCCATCACAGCCACATTCCTTTGGGTTAAGGTGTAATTCCCCCGTGGGATGCACATGTCTCCAGAAAGGGGTTTGCCCTTAGTGATTCACTATCCGCCGCTGTGAACCTCGCAGTAGCTCTCCCAGGACCCCAGTCTGCCAGTAAATCAGAGGGAGGCTGAGAGCCGGAGAGGGACCACCTCAGAACCTAGACCATGAGTGAGCTGCTGTGCTCCCGGTGCCTGTGTGCTCAGGGGTTCTGGTGTACCATGGAGGGAGATCTCAGCCCGGTGTAGGGGAAGCAGTACCTTAGGAGGCAGAGGGAATGATTCTGATCCTGATTCTGCTATTTATTGCCTGTGTGATTTGGGGGTAAGTCACCTCTCTGAGCCTCATTTTTCTCGTGGGCAAAATGGGGATACTTTTGTAGGGAGCCACTGGCTCGGCGTGTGCCAGAGAAGGCAGCACTCAGGACTTGTAGAACTGTGTAAGTCCTAGCTCCAAAACACCTAGAGGCTGAGTCACTTCACCTTTCTGAATCTCAGTTTTCTCCTCTGTAAAATGGAAATTACAGTAATTGCCTCGAAGGGGGCTGTGGAAATTAAATGAGATGACATAAATCAAGGGTTTAGAAGAGAGTCTAACATCCTTATATAGTAAGAGGTGGGCTTATGTTGGTTGAGAGCATTTCCCCCTCCCTCTCCCTTTCCTTCTCTCTCACATGCACACACACCCACATGCACAGGCACATGCACGGATATTTGGCTCTTCTCCAAGTCAGAGTCCTGCTGTCTCCCGCCTCCTCTTGCTTACTGTCACTTGTCAGAAGACCTGGGATCCCCCTCCTCAGCATGTGTCACCTGGGATGTCACCTATGCTCAGTCCTGTGTGTCTCTGTACTAACCTCAAAGGATGCTCAGGCTCCTCCACAGTCATTCTGCACGTGATCGTCACACTGGCTGGGATGGCGGCCCTACAGATGAGACACTGAGGCACGGGGGTGGGGTGCGTGTGAAGGGACTTGCCCCAGAGCAGGGCTAATGAGCAGTGTTGTTTGGATATGAGCATAGGTCTGAGGGATCCCAGCCCTCCCTAGTCAGAGAGCAGCCCTTAAAGGGAGCATACCGTGTCCTAGGCACTTCAGAGGGTACCCACAGCTTAGGGGTCCCTGCCTATCACGGTTCCATGTCTGCAGAAACTGCCCCTGCTGGATGTGCAGATGTTCACATAGGGGACTTGGCAGAGGAGGCACAGTAAGGGGCCCGCCGGGCATCTCTACCTTTAGACTCAAAAGTAAAGCCAGGCCTTCCTGTTGTCACCACTCAATCCACAACTGTTGAGTACATGCCCCCAAACTGTGCCACTTGTTTGTGAGATATTTAGTGAACACCTACTTAGTAAGGCCCCGTTCCCCCAGAATAGGAAATAAAATATCAGAAAATGGTAAATGTAAGGAAAAAAAAAACAAAGCATGTGAGGGACTGGGAGAAAAACATTCCAGGCAGAAGTAACAGGGCAAGGGCCAAGAGGCAGGGTTGGAGCTGCTCTGTTTGGAGAACTGGGAGAAAGCTAGAACTGGGAAGGGAAGGGAAGGGAAGGGAAGATTGTAAATGGAGCCACAGAGACATCGTGCAATGCCTGCACGTTTCCGGAGATGTTCAAAGTAGTCATTCATGATTGGGTGCATGAATTTGAAACCTCACTCTGGCTGTGATGTATCGGATGGATTCTAAGGGGCAGAATGGAAGCAAGGAAACTACTGGGTCAGCCCTTGCCGTGGTCAGGGCCAGGGATCATGGTGGCACCTGTCTGTGGCAGTGATAGAGGAGGGAGGTGTGTGGCTCTGGGGTCTTTTCTTCTAGGAGAGTAATCAGAGCCCACGGAGCTGGGGGAAGGAATTTGGTAGGAGAGGAGAGTCAAGGGGTATTGCCCTGCCAGTATTACCACGTCACTGAGACTCCTGGTGTCATTCTGTGTCACCCTGGCCTGGTGGGTACCATGAGATGGATCTCAGAAGACAGTGCACCCCCTCTGCTCTGGGGGAGCTTCCTACAAGGTGAGGGAAGGTAGCAAAGCACTGGGTGCTGGTGTGGGCTCAGAGTAGGAAACCAAAGAAGACTTCAGAGAACCAAGGAAGGCTTCTTGGAGGAGGTGATAACCAAGCTAACTAATATCAGCGGGATGTGGAGGTATTCAGCAGAAGAGGAGAGGAGAGGAGAGGAAGTGAAGGTTGAAACAGTGAAAAAATGCTCAGAGGCAAGGGTGACAGGACCCAGTTAGAATGGAGGCTACAAAAAAACCAAAAAAGAATGGAGGCTACAAAGCTGGCCAGAGGGCATGTTCCCCAAGGGCACGGGGGGGGGCTCAATTCTCATTTGATTCTGAGTATGCTAATGTGAAACAGGTGGTGACATCTGCTTGCTTTCTTTTTTTTTTCCTCATTGAGTTTATTGGTACATTTTAGGTATACAATACAGTTACATTCATTGCTGGGATCTTGTACCTTACATGACAGGTCTTGGTTCTCATTTTTTCCCCTTGTCCCTGCCCTCCCTTCACCCCTCTTTCCCTCCCCCTTCACAAACACTTCATTTCCATTTTTTCATTTTCTCATATTTTTTCTTTTCCCTTCTTTCCTTTCCCCTACCCCTCCCACTTTCCCTACACCTATAGCCCTTTTCTTCCTATTTCACATTGTCAACTAGATCATTAGGATCTTACGTACTATTATAGTTTATTCACAGCAGAGAAACTATTCGGTATATATACATGTGTGCCTTGTTTATTTCACTTAGGAGTATATCCTCAATATGTATCCATTTTGCTATGAATGAATCTAATTTCTCATTCTTTGTGGCTGAGTAGTATTCCATTTTATAGAAAAACCACATCTTCTTTATCCAGTTTCCAACTGATGAGCAAATGGGCTGTTTCCAAGTTTTAGCTATTACAAACTGTGCCGCTATAAACATAGGTGTGCATATATCTCTGTGATATGATTCTTCTAATTCTTTTGGAAAGATACCCAGCAGAGAGATGGCTGGGTCAAATGGAACCTCTTGTCCCAGCCCTTTGAGGTATCCCCATATTGATTTCCACAGTGGCTGCACCAGTCTGCACTCCCACCAACAATGGAGAAGGGTTCCTTTCTCTCGACAACCCAGCCGACATTTGTTACTGTTTGATTTCTTGATAGCAGTCATTCTTTGTGGGGTGAGGTGGAATCTCAGTGTTGTTTTCATCTGCGTCTCTTGAATGACCTTGCTTTCTTTTTTATGGGGTGAAGAATTGAGACAGGGTCTTGCTGTACAGTTCAGACTGGAGTGGAACTCACTAGGTAGCCCAAGCTGGCCTCCAAACACATTGATCCTCCTGCCTCAGCTTCCCAACTGCTGGGATTACAGACGCGAAGCACTGCACATGGTTAACATCTGTTTTTTTAAACAACAAAACAAAATTTCCCCTGAATATAAGCAACACGGCTGTGGGGCAGGGCCTGTTTGCCTCAGGGAGCCAGGGAAGAAAGTTGAAAGATAACCCTGGAGGGCCTTGCATGTTTCAGCAAGAAAGGACCTCAGGGCAGCTATCTTCATCTAGCTATCATCTAAAAATCTTTGCTAGTCACTTTTAGACAATAGCGAAAGGCACAGCCCTCAAAGGCCCTCAAATGCCTTTTCTCCTGAGCCTCCTTCAGAGTCACAGTTCAGCATTCGTTATTGAATAGTTCATCCCTCACTGTGGGAGACCTAAGGACCTTACAGCCTGGAATTTAAGGACATAGACTCCTGAGCCAGGCTTGCTGGACCTGCCACTTAGCTGGCTTTATAGTTAGCCTCTCTGAGACTTAGTTTCCCTTCTACTAAATGTAAAGGGGAAATGGTAATAAGGGAACCAAGAAGTCATTGAGTTATTGTCAGAATTAAGCGAATTCTCAGTTGTAAAGTATTGAGAAGAGTGTCTGGGCTCTAGAAGTGGCACCTGCAGAGAATATAACTCGTTTAATCCTCAACGAAACTTGCTATGGCCGTTATTAACCTCAGAAAAGGAAACAAGCTCGCAGAGGTGAAGGGACTTATACAAGGTGACACAGAAGGGAAGTAGAAGAGATAAGAGAGAGCAGTCAGATGTGGGTGACTGAGTCCAGTGTTCTTGGACGGCATTATATGTCCCTCGTTGTTAACACTTTCTGTCCATATTATAGTCACTTTTATGAACTGTTTTGCGAGTTCCTAGCGTGCAGCCAGACATGAGAAAACATTCAGTGAAGTTGTGACTGACTGATTGAGGGATTGATTGAATAAGATTGATGAGTTGATTTGTGGATCCCGGCACTTGGCTTAGGGCCATCCTCAGGGAGAGAGCCCTGGGATTCAGTCCTGCTGAGGGCTCTATGGTTCCCTCCACCTCCTCACTTGCTGCTCACAGAGCAAGTCCCAGTGCCCCTGTGCGACCAGTGGCCTAGTGAAAGTACGGGACTGGCAGCCTGCGCTGGGGGAAGTCCGAAGAACAGTGCTGGGGCAGGTCCCCTGGTGGGGCTTCCTGTCAAGGCCCTGAGCCCAGTCCTTGAACAATGGCAAGGGCTGGAGAATCAGAAAATCAAAAGAAAAAGGGCAAAATGAGGAGGATGGGAGTGGGGATTGAGGTGGAGGGCGGGATGGGTAGAGGGGGTGGAATGAAGAATTGTATTTGGGGCCTAAGGAGCTGAGAGGGGGGACCCACTGTAGTGTGGGTGGAAGTGGAGTCAGAAGCTCCCCTCCCACTACCCCCAGCCATGACCATGGCCCAGGGCAGTCCTCTCGTCCTCTGCCTCTGCACTTCTCCTGCAGGCTGTTTCCTAGCAGGTCTTGAAAATCCACACCTGACCGAGGCACCCACTGTTCTAAAATTCTTGCTTCCCCCAGGCAACGACCCAGCTTGGCCCGGCCTCCCAGGCCCTTTGTGCAGCTTCGTGTCCCACCTGCTCCCTCTCAGTATTCCAGCCCAGCCGTGATCTGGGGCTCTCGAAGGCAGGCAGACAATGTGGGAGAGGTGGGGCTGGCAGCAGGAAGGGGCCAGTGGTCTCACAGTGTTTCCCTCTACTCCCCAACTCTACACAGAGCCATGAGCCACCAGATCCTGCTGTTCCTGGCCGTGCTGACTCGAGGCCTGGCTACTTCCCAACACCGAGACAAGGTGCCCTGTAAGATGGTAAGATGCTCTGCCAAGGCAGGGAAAGGGCCATACCACACCATCCTTGCCCTGAAGTGTCCTACTGCCCTGGGCCCCAGAAGCTACAAGTTAGAGTCAAGAGCGGAAAGGGATTTACCTTACACTTAACAAGCAGTTAATAGAATGTTTAAATACCCTGTTTACCCAACAATGCTACCAAGTAAGCCTCAATATTCCCATTTTACAGAGGAGGAAAGTGAGGCTTAGAGAAGTAGATGACTTATACAAGATTATTTAGTTAGGAACAGTGAGCCCAGCATTGAGCTGTATCCCCCTAAGCTGTCCCTGCAGGAGAGTGGGCCCAGCTGAGGGATCTAGAATGTATAGGGAATGTGGAATGAGAGGCTCCTCTGGACTTGTCTCCCTGGGGACAAATCCTCTTCCCAAACTGGGCTCCTTGACTTGAACCTGCCCTCTAGAATGCATCTCACTCATTACTGGTAGGTCAGTGAAGCCTCCTCCAGGAAGCCTCCCTGAACCCTCCCAGGCTCACTCTGTCTGGCCACTTCCTCTCCAGGGCTCCTGCCATTCCCAAGCTCCCCACCACCGCAACACTGAGCACCCTGGGTGACTGGTGAGTGATCTGAGCTTGTCTTGCCTTCCAGACCAAGAATTTATGTAGGGCAGGGAGCAGATCTGATTCCACCTTGTTCCTTTTTCTTGCTGCAAGCCAGAGAAACTAGCTCTGAAGTTCCTGGGACCCTGTCAGGTACAGGGACAAGATATCATTTGGGGATGTCTGTAAGGCTGGGCAGCCATATGGGTCAAGGCTGGAGCCTGGGCTGGAGAAAAGACCAGCCCTCTAGCAGCCCCATTTGGACACAGAATAGGCAACTGCTGGGGGAAGCCAGAGTGCTGGCCAGTGACAGTCAGTGCTTCCCCTGGTCCTGTGATGTCTTCTGTGGCCACCACTCTTCTTTCTCCTTTGAATCTTTCAGAGATTCTGAGAACCCAGAATGATGGGCAGAGAAGGCCTCAGACATCATCAAATACCAACACACCTTGGGGAATGGAGGGAAGCTCTATGAAGTAGGGGCCTTGGTCAGTAGGCAGAGAGAAACAAGGGCAGCTTTGATTCCTGGGGAAATTAGATCATAGATAGGAAAGCACTCTGTGAAGTAGCACAAAAGATATTGCAGGCAGGAGTTGAGAGGGCATCTGCCACTGCCACTGCCACCAATCCACTCCAGGACAGAATCAGAGCAGGAACTGATAGAGTCAGGATTCTCACCCAACTGTCCTTATGCTGCCCGTTGCCAGATGCCTCTTCCTACCCTGGTATATGCCCCATGTCCAGATGATAAGTGGGCTTGGTGGCAAGTGCTGCCTAAGGATTGAGCTGGGTAGAGGCTGATGCTACAGAGAGAGCAGGGAGGAGCTCTAAAGCCCATCCAAGGCCCTGGGTCAGCCCCATCAATTACTCACTGCTGGGAGCTTGGGGCTGGGGGCTGGGTGCTGAAGGACAGCTGGAAATGGAGTTCTAGGAGCTGATGTGGCCTTCAGGCTCCCTCCTGCACTGAGCTGGAGAAGTGAGCATCCCAGAACAGCCCTGCCCATCAGCAGCCCTGGGGCCTCTCTAGAATGGGTCCTGGCACCTGAGCAGCTAGTAAATCTCAGACTCTGGACTGGGCCAGTTTTGTGCCCAGCCCACTGTCAGGCTGGTGCCTAGAGAACCTTTGCCAGTGTAGAGGGGATATGGGTGTGGGTTTGAAGGTGGGGCGACTTGTGAAGCACAGTACAGTGCCCTACCCCACTGCCCTGTAAATGGTGCCTGGTGTGATTTCCAGTGTCAGAGGAATCAGCCTGTGTGCCTGACTAGCTGAGGGCTCAGTAGGCAGAACGCAGCTTGCCATGATAGGAAAAGAAACTTGCCTGGAGTAGTTTTGAGCCTATGGGCTCTCTGACCTTGCACAACCTCGGTTTCCTTAGGGAGGACAAGGGGAAGGGGATAGGAGGATTGAATGAGGTGAGGGATCTGTGTACTCAGCATGGAACCCACTGCAGAGCTGGACTTCCTCTTTTTGTCATTTCTTCCTTAAGTCAGGATGGTCTGCGCAGCTGAGGCTGGTGATGAGGAGGCTTTGTCTTTGATGCCACTGAGCAGAGATTATGAGGGAGGAATGGGCAAAGACTGGCAAGGTGGCCAGGGTAGGTTTCTGATGTATATGGGGTCAGCTGTGGGCATATCCCTGGGACTCCTGAGGCTTCCGTGAAGCCAGTTTCCTGGGAATAACAAGGCTGCCATGGTGGACATGCAGCAGTAAGAGTCACACCTGAGTCTGGGCAGTTCCTCACCACACTGATACTCAGTTGGGGCTTTCAGGAGAAATTACACAGCTGGGCCCCGTGAGGAAGCCGCAGGCTTGTGTTTCATCCTTGCCATCTCAGCCTTGGGCTTCCTGTAACATCATGCACGTTGCTACCTTTTCAGGTATCAGTTCCCCAATCGGGGAATTGGATGAGCTGCACTCTTTTTGCTCTGACAGTCACTGAATCTAATCACATGACTCATCCCTCTTATTTCCCCTCAAAAAAGTGGTTGATTCCAAGCCTCCACCCTGTACACTAAACCTTAACACAACACAGATGTCTGTGACTCTCGTCACAGTGGTGAGTAGTGGTCAGGAGGTCATTTCATGTGGGCTAGATGGAAAGAAAAGGAGACAGGAGCCACAGCCTTCAGTCCCTTACTCAAGGTCCTGGACTCTATCCTGGGGGTAGATAAGCACAGTGGAGTTTTTGAGCAGTTGCCAGTTGGCTTTGCAGATGGGTGGGTCAGAAGGAGTAAAGGCGGGTAGAAAGGCCCCAGGCTTTGGTGATGGTTGGCTATGGAAGTCCGGCCTTTTGCTAACAAAGATAGGGGTTTCAGAGGCCTGGATACAGAAAAGGGAGACATACATTTACATGGAAGAATCCTGGCTCCAGAAGGTACCTTTTGTGGAAGGACAGGAGTGATGTCTTTAAGTAGTAAGAGACCTGGGTTCAAATCCCAGCTCCTTCTTCACCAGCTGGGTGATCCTGAAGCCACCCTTACCCTCTCTGAGCCTGGATCTCTGTAAATAGGGGAAGTTTTATTAGGTAGCCCTCATATACAGGATTGGCTGTTATGGGATCCGGTGAGATTGAGGGCCCAAGAGAGCTTGGCAAAATATAAAGTGCTGAGTGGGCGCTGGGTAAGGATGAGTTACTTTGGGGATAAGAAACCAGAGTGGTAATAGGACCTAATGGAGGTCACACAACAAAATCACAGTCTTGTTGCTGAAGAATGTTAAATGGGACCCTGACCATATTTTGCCCTGCTCCCTCTCCCTACTTTTACCTCCAGGGGCTGGTGCTGGACCAGGCTGTGGGGAGTGTGGCCACTTATGAGGTGGGGGTAGGTAATAGAAAGGAGGCCACATCTGGGTCTCTCATTACAGGGCCCATCACATGGAATGAGAGCCTGAGTGAGAAGTGAGGATAGGACGCCAAAACAAGAACTGATGACAGGAGTAGAGACTGTAGGTTCCCCTTTACAAAATTTTTTTCCCCAGTGTGGCTTCCAGTCTAATCCTGGAAGTTTTACCATCGGGGCCATAGAAGGGTCTCAGGATGGGGAACCAGGCCCTGCTGCTCAGTGACTCTGGGTCACCCTGATTGACACATGGCTTAGTTTCCTGTGAAATGAGATGGTAGTCAAACAGGGTTTTTCCTAGTTTGTCCTCATATCTGCCTATTATTTCTCTATCTGGCTACCCATCCGACCTTCACTGAGTCCTTCCTTTCTATCCAGCGCTGAACTGGATGCTAAGGACAAGGCTAGGGAGCAGGATGGATCATCAGATGTTAGGCTTGGTGGAGGAGAGTCTAGCATTCTGGGAGTCCCTGGAAGCACCCACCCAAGCCTGGAGGGGGGCTAATTGTCCTTCTGGAGTAGCCTGTCAGCTGTACCCCTACTACACCCATTAATGCCCATTGTTCTTTCTACCCTCCCCAGGTGGGCAAGGAGGCCTTTTGCCAGGGTCTCAGCCTATTCCAGGTCCCTTCAGGGCTCCCATTGGACATCGAGGCCCTCGACCTATCTGGAAACCAGCTGAGAAATGTCCTGGTCTCACCCTTGGGCTTTTACATTGCCCTGCGTTATCTGGACCTGAGCACCAATGAGATCAGCTTTCTGCAGCCAGGAGTTTTCCAGGCCCTGCCCCACCTGGAACACCTTAATCTAGCTCAAAACCGCCTGGCAGTGGGCACTGCGCTGAGTGCCGGAGGTCTGGGTCCCCTGCCACACCTGATCTCCCTGGACCTGTCTGGAAACAGCCTGTACAGTGGCCTGGTGGAGCAACTGCTGGGCGAAGCCCCCAGACTGCGTACACTCTCACTGGCGGAGAACAGCCTGACACGCCTGAGCCGTCAGACCTTCTGGGGCCTTCCTGCGCTGGAGCAGCTGGATCTGCACAGCAACGTGCTGATGGACATTGAAGATGGTGCTTTTGAGGCCCTGCCCCACCTGGTCCAGCTCAATCTCTCCCGTAATTCCCTCACCTGTATCTCTGACTTCAGCCTCCAGCAGCTGCAGGTGCTTGACCTGAGCTGTAACAGTATTGAGGCCTTTCAGACAGCCCCAGAGCCTCAGGCTAAGTACCAACTTGCCTGGCTAGACCTGCGGGAAAATAAATTGCTCCATTTCCCTGACCTAGCCGCTCTCCCAAGACTCATCTACCTGAACATGTCCAACAACCTCATCCGGTTCCCCACAGGGCTTCTGCAAGGCAGTGATGCCCTCCATGCGCCTTCTGAGGGCTGGTCATCCTTGCCCTTCTTCAGCCCCAGCTGGAATGCCAGCACCCATGCCCTCTCCCAGCTCTTGAACCTGGATTTGAGTGACAACGAAATTGAGCACATTCCAGACACCTTTCTTGAGCCTTTGATCTCCCTTCGCTTTCTGAACCTCAGCGGGAACTGCCTGCGGGCCTTTGGGGCCCGGCCCATAGGCTCTCTGCCCTGCCTGGTGCTCCTGGACTTAAGCCACAATGTGCTGGAGGCACTAGAGCTGGGGACCAGAGCTCTAGGGTCCCTACGAACACTGCTCCTACAGGACAATACTCTGCGGGACTTGCCACCATACACCTTTGCCAACCTGGCCAGCCTTCAGAGGCTCAACCTGCAGGGAAACCGAGTCATCCCCTGCGGGGGGCCAGCAGAGCCCAGCCTCCCAGGCTGTGTGGCTTTCTCTGGCATCCCTACCCTCCGTGTTCTAAACATGGCGGGTAACCAAATGGAGACGCTCAGGGCAGGGGCCTTCCTCCACACTGCGCTCACTGAGCTGGACCTCTCTGCCAACCCTGGTCTCAAGGTGGCCACAGGAGCTCTGGCAGGCCTGGAGGCCTCCTTGGAGGTCCTTGAGCTGCAGGGCAATGGGCTGACTGTTCTGCAGGTGGACCTGCCCTGCTTTAGCTGCCTCAAGAGGCTCAATCTTGCTGAAAATCACCTCAGCCACCTACCTGCCTGGACACAGGCTGTATCACTGGAGGTGCTGGACCTGCGGAACAACAGCTTCAGCCTCCTACCAGGCAGCGCCATGGGTGGCCTGGAGACCAGCCTTCGGCGCCTCTACCTGCAAGGAAATCCGCTCAGCTGCTGCGGCAATGGCTGGCTGGCTGCTCAGTTGCACCAGGGCCGTGTGGATGTGGATGCCACCCAGGACCTGATCTGCCGCTTCGGCTCCCAGGCTGAGGTCTTATTGAGCCATGTACGTCCTGAGGACTGTGAGGAAGGGGGGCTCAAGAATATCAACCTCATCATCATCCTCACCTTCACACTAGCCTTGGCTGCCATCCTCACTACGCTGGCTGCCTATTGCTGCATCCGCCGGCAGAAGTTTAACCAACAGTACAAAGCCTAAGGAAGCCAGGAGATCCTTCCAGGTCTGTGCAGAAACTGGAGCCACAGAGGAATGGGAACTGGCCACAGAGTGAGCCAGAGTCCCAGAACTCTGGCCTCTAAATCCCAGGCCAGGGCTCCTTTGTCTGCATTTTGCTGCATCAGTAGGTGGCCCACTTCCCGGGCTGCACATCTAGTCCAGCTGTGGAAGCCGGAAGTTGAGTAAGCTCAGGGGCCCCAAATCAACAGAGCTTCACAGAGCATCTGTCCCCTTGCTGGGGACACTACCAAATGAAATGCATGCCTGTCCTCGGGTAGGGGAGGTTGTCGCAGTGCCGGGCAGTGACCACAGTGTGATGGGGTTGAGATAGAAAAGCCTGGGGTGCCACTGCTTTGTAGCCCCACAGATAAGGTGTGGAGAGTCCTGCTCTGGCTGTGCCAGGAAAAGGCAGGACCAAGCCCAAGAGGATTTGTCTGAAACATTTTCAAGCAGACTGTTTTGTCACATCTTCTCATAATGACTTTCAGCCTCTCTGGAAAATGGAGAGCTTGTGACCAGAAGAGAGAGCCAGAATGTCACGAGTGTGTCTTGGATCCGGTGCTGTTTGGCAGGCCACAGTAGCTCCAGCAGGACCTGGTTAAGAGGTGATCACCCTGGGTTCCCATCCAGTGGTGGACCATTCTGCTTCCTGCTGTGGACAGGACCTTTCCCTCCCTGGCACTCTCATGTTGCACACACCGACCCCAGTACTGCCTGAACCCCACTTCCTGCCCAGGCTCCTCTCTCCATCCAGCCCCACCCCAGCTACTGAGCCATGGGCTACAACCATAGGTATCTAGTTCTAGTTTGAACTCAGCTTAGCAGCTGCAGATGCAAATCCAAGCCTCTGTGTGACAAATCTTGGACCTTGGCATTTTACCCCTATTTTGTAAAGAAGGAACACAGAGCTCCAGAAGTCTCCTTCCAGGGTCCCACAGCTAAAATGCCATAGCTGAGATTCAGACCCACATCCTCCTGTCTCCAGGTCTGAGTTTGCTGCTGACTGGGGCCACAAGCTGTTAAGTAGACAAGAAGTGGCCTCATTTCACCTGGCCAGGGCCCGAGCTTCCTGGGCCATGCACACCCACTTTCTCCTCTCCAGGCAATTGCAGGCCCTCTACCCTTCCTCAGCCTCAGTTTCTCTCATTCTTTCCTTTGTGGACTGGTGTGTGTCCTCCTTTTTCTCTTTACCTCCTGCATTCTCTCATTCTATCTCCCTCCACTGAGCAGTCTGGAGTTTGAGATCATTAAGTCCAACCTCCCCTTTGCACAAATAGGGAAACTGAGGCTTAGGAAAGAATAGGAACCGCTTACAGCTGCTCAACTCAATGGCAGAGCCGGTGGAGGTAAAAATAGATTTCGACCTCAATGGGATGAGATTGAGTGTAGGCCTTCTCTCAACTGCCATGTGGCAAGGCAATGCTGCTCCAGACTTTCATTTTGTTCCTCATGATGCCGGGATTTTTTGACTCCTAGGAAAATAGGTAGAAAGACCCACTCAGATAAATCCTTCTCACTCATACCATAGGGTCATGAGCCTTGTGGGAAGAAAGGAAACTCTGGACCTGGCAAAGACCCCCTGTTATTGTGCTCAGCCTCTTGCCCATGCTTGGCCCATGGGCATTTGGTAAAGTGCAAAAAAAATGAAAATGCAGTTTTCTCTACCCCACTTTACAGATGAGAAAAACTGAGACCCTGAGAGGATTAAGGGCTCACAGAGCTGATGGTCAGAGGCAGGGCAAGAACTCTCCCCTGGACCCTGATGGTATGAAGGCATCCAGGTGGCTCAGTCCTGGCTGATCACAGGTGCTACTGTATACAACAGTCTTCCTCAGGCCCCGAGCCAAAGTGCTGACCCCTGTGCTTGATCTATGAAAACACTACACCATGCTGCTGTCACCTCGCAGGTCTTGGAACCAGCTCTTTGTATAACCCACATGAATGTATTAAAGTCTAATTTTGGAGAAACAGTGTGTCCACCAGCCTCTTCCTTGTCAGGAGTTGGCTTGAACCCTGACTTCTACCACTTCCTGTAGGGTCTTTCATCCTCATGACGAGTGTCTGAAGGACACTGAGGCTCAAGGCCATCAGCACCTTGAACCTTTGAGTCTCAGCCTCCATCATGGCCATGCACAGCCCTGCTTCCCTCCCCAACACTGAGGGACTGGTGACTTCTCTTCATTACCTGCCTTCTGCCACTACACATATGTCTCCTCCCTTTCTCTGTGGTCACTCCGCTCTGCCCCTTCTCAGGGGGCTGAAGTCCTGCCCATCTTAAAAATAACAAAAAGACCCTTGTGCCCTTCCTCGTCCTGTTCTTCACAGGTAAACTTCCCTACCCCTCCCAAGCTGCCCTTGCTAAGGTCTCCACCGTCTCCTTTTCCAAGCTCAGGGGGCTTTTCAGACCTCATCTCTTTGACCCTTGAGCAGCAGGGCTCCTTGCCTGTGACCTCCCTGATATCTGTGACCTCACCTATGAAGCTGTCTCCTCCCTCCCAGGCCATCGTTTTCTGACCTCTCCACGTGCTCATCTTTCTGGAGCCATTTCTAAATCATGACCTCTAGGACTTGGTCCTAGCTGTAGCCACCCCATTGCTCCAACTACAAGGCCCATTTGTGTCTCCACCCTCACCTATGGTGGAGATCCAACCCTGTACTGGAAGACTAAAGGTCTCCAGGGAACCTGGAGAATTCAAGAAGCATTTAGGTTGCAGATCCAGATTGAACTTGGAAAAAGATTACTGGTTCCAGGATGGGAGCTGGCGAGTGAGAGTGTGTGGGCTGGCACCTTGGAAAGGGTCAGGAGTTGCCTCAGGGTGGAGGAAGATTGGGACAGTGTGAGCACTGGGTGGCAGAGGCAAGGGCCTGTCAGGATCTGGAGGCCAGAGTGATCCTCTTGGTTCTCCTGGCTCCCACTCTGCATCTCATCCCAGGAGCTCATCCTTAGGCGCCCCAATCCCCCTTCTCAGCAGGCTGACCCCTAGTCACTGCTTTGCAGAAACCAACTTTCTTCCCCAACCTGCCTCTCCCTAAGGTCCAGCTCAGTAATTATCCTACTTTCCCCACTGTCCCCAAGTGACCTGAGTCCCTCCCCTCAGGCCCAGCTGCCACTTGGGCCCTGGTGCTGCAGCCTTGTGTCTTAGAGGCTTCTTCAGCCAGCTTCTCTAGCCTGTAACTCTCCCCTTCCAGTTCCTACTCCCAGCTCCCACTTTCCAAAGAAACATTTTAAACACCTATTTACTGGGGTGGTGTTGAGAGAATGAGAAGGGTGTATCTCAACCCAGGGCAGGCACATAGCAGGTGCTCGGGGAAGGCCTAGAGGTACACAAGCTGACTCGCAGGGTCTTTGGACCTCCCACCCAGCTGGGAGCCCACCAGGCCCCTGACCCCTTTTCCTGGCAAACAGGAGAGTTTGCTCACCTGGCCAAGACCCCCCATTGAGACAGAAATTCCTGTTTTCAGCCAAACATGGACACAGCTGCCAACTAGGTCATCAGAGCATCCGGCTTCCAGGCTTTCAGCAAGTTCAGGGACAGGGAGGCCCTTTTGTACCCCATGTTGCAGACCACCCTAAGGTGCTATCACTCAGCTCCTTCATTCAGTGAGCTCTGCTGGCCTCCCATTAAACCAGGCCCTGTGCCCCACAGACCCCAGGGCCCAGGATCAGCTGTCTGCCCCCATGTCCTTGTCCTTCTGGCAGCTCACAGGTCCCTCCTGCCTCCAGCCCCATCTCTCTCTGCCTCTCCACAAGGTGCTCAGAAGAACACTTACTAGCTTGTTGGAGAGGCCTTCTGTGCTAAGCATTTATGTACTTTGTCCTGTTCATTCTGACAAACCTATAAGAAATTAACTCATGTTAGAGAAACTGAGAGTCCAGAGCTAAGGCTTAAACTCAGGCTCCTCCCTCTCCATTAGGTGGCACTGCCTCCTGACCTTCCCATACCGGCTCTCCCCTGATCCTCCACAGAGTGCAGAGCATCTAACCCACCTGCTGACTCTTTCTCCCACCCTTGCTGTCCTACTCCTCAGGGAGACTGCCCACAGCCTCAGGCTGCCCTCACCACTGTACTAGGGGGTCTCTTCAGTCCACAGCAGGCCAAAAGCCCCCAGAGGGAAGTCCAACTGGAGACCTCATGTGTCCCGGGAACTGTGAGCCAGCCCAGGCAGGGACCTCAGATAAGATTTCCTGAATTAATGGCCCCTACACTCCAGGACTTAATAAACCCTGGGATTAAGACCAGACAGACAGAACACAGAGGGGATTGCAGGGTGTGGGCTGCCTGGGGAACCAGCAGCCAGTGGGGAAGCAAAATAAGAAAACTCTCTGACCACCCTCCATTCTCCTAGGGCCTCTAGAACCCTGTCTTAACTTCATCCTTTCCCTCCTTCTGGCCTCCCTCCCCTCTTCTGTCCTCTCCCTCCCTGGTCATCTCCTGCACCCTCACCCCGTATCTCACTGGAAACAGTTGTGGCTGAGAACCAGGAGGGAGGGGAGGGAGAGAGGCCCCGAGCTGTTTATAGGAACTGGAGCAGCTCCATCCATCAGCTCTGTTTGGAGTTGGAGACCAAGCATAATAAATACCTTGGCTCCGGCCCAGCTGTGCTTTCCCTGAACTTGGCCATCCAAACTCCAAATCTCTCTGGCCTGCTGGCTCTCAGGACCCAGCTCCCACCCCACCCCACCTACCCTCACCTCCCACAGGGCTGCTCTGGAACTAGCTGTGCCTCTGAACCAGAAAATCAGCACCAAGTCTAGACTCTGCCACTTTGTTCTGGGAGCAAATGTAGTTTGTGCCCCTTGTATCTGCTCCCATTTCCCGATCTGTAAAATGGGCTAATAACTACCACCAAACCCTTCCTGACTCATGGCCCTGTTCACTGTCAGGCCAGATGGCTTGAGGGTCATTGTGTTGCTGGGTTCTGGGCCCTTGGTTTACAAGGAAGAGTAGCTGAAGCCTCTGCCTGGGCAGTGGAGAGAGGGGCCGTACCTCAACACAAGCTAGGAAGTGGTCACCTGGGAGGGTGGTCCAAATTTCGTGCTTGGGAAGTTTGTTTGCAGCCAGGAATGGCCCTTGCATCTGGAGAAGTGAGAGGGACTTCAAGGACATCTGGGCTGCCTATAGAAGGGATTTCAACATGTGGAGACAGGGAGAAATCCAGGCAGAGCAGAGCAGGCCTCTGAACAAAGCCAGGCAGCTAGAGATCCTGGTAATCACGGGGAATGAAAAGGAGTCTGCGCACATTTGTGCACCCCTATCTTCTGCACCTTTTGCGAAGAACCTCCATCTTTCTAGAATGTTCCCTCCTTGCCAGGAGTGCCTCCAACTCACTCAGTGGATGTGTTCCCAGAATTTTGTCATCACATCCTGACTTCCCCCGGAAAAAGACACCTAGAAAGGAGAAGGCTCAGATCAAGAAAAGCCATTGAGCAACACGTTTCTGGAATGAATATGGGAATAAATGAATAAAGGGGTGAGTGAAAGAGTGAGTCAAGCAAAGATAGAACATTAGTAAGTTACTGAAAGCACCCAACACATCCTAAGCCCTGTTATAGGCCTCACCGGCCACTATATACACAAAGTCCCTCCCCTGGGGCACTCACAGCTTATTGAGCAAATACACATCAAACACTCAAGCACATACACACACACACATACACACACACACACAAATAATGCCAAACTGTGACGAGTGCTACAACAGTTACCAGGGAGAGGATTGAAATGGGGCGTGATTGCGATGAGTCCTCTCTGAGGAGGTGACATCCAAGCTGAGTCTGGGGAAGATGTAAATTAGACCACAAGTGAATCAGCACTCCCATAGCCTCTTCCATCAGCTTGTCAAAATGCCTAGGGAGGGCAGTGTCTGGGTTCTGGACCCCTCACAGAAGGCAGCCCCCACCCCTCAGTGCCTCCACTCTTTCGTGAATCGTGGAGAGATGCATGAAAAGCCACACGCAGTGAAGGGGAAAGTATAGCCCAGCGGGTGAGAGTCAAGCACTGGCGCGTGGGGCTAGGTTACAGGGTGAGAAAGCCCAACTCCAAGGGCCCCTGCCTTTGTGTTTTGGGTGTTGTTTTGTTTTTTGGGTTTTTTTACTTCTTAGCTTTTTGGTGAAGGCTGGGTTACAGTCCTTCCTCTCTTTCTACTCCACCGGAGTCACCTTGCACTCCAACCCCTTTCTTCCCAGGTTACCTTTTTTAACAGACTCATATCTAACCCACTGTATGATTTCTTCAGTATTAAGTATACATATGCATGTACTGTATTAGGGAATTTTGATCACTCATAAAAATAGGATTGTATTCTATATGCTTTCCTACATCTTGCTTTTTTAAAACTTAACAATACTTCAAAGATACCCTCAAATAAACAGGATCAGTTCTGTTTCATTTTTGACGGTACATAACATTCTGTAGAGTTCATATTCAGCCATTTATGCAGTTGATTTCTTTAGCCATTTGCCTATTGATGGCTTTATTACCTTTTCTTGCAATTCTGAACATGCTGCAAAAAAAAAATCTTTCAGATTCTGTTCTCTCCTGGGATGTGTCTCTGTGAGATAAATACTTAAAATTGAAATTCTAGATTGATGGGATATATATATATATATATATATATATACACACACAGAGGCATATATATGTATATAGATATGATGTATATGTGTGTGTGATATAATATATATATAATTTTAATAAAACTTGCTTTTCAAAAAGACATAGTGGTTTCAAAATGTAGGGAAGAAAGTTCTTTCCTTGTGTTTATCTGCTAGAAATACAAGTTTGAGCCCTGAGTATAAAGTGGCCTCTCACTGTTATTTCAAGTTGCATTTCTCTGCTGTTGGATCTGAACAGCTTTGTATTTATTTATTGGCATTTTGGATTAACTCTCCCATAAATTGCCCATCTTTGTCCTTCACCCATTTTCCTACGAGTTAACCTTTCCATGTCAATTTGTAAAGCTGCTGTATGTTGTAGATAATAAACATTTTCTCGCATTTCCTGACAAATGCTTTATAAGCCTTTCATTTGTTTATTGCCTTTGTTTATGTATCTTTTGATCAGCAATGTCAAGGCCTCACTTTTCCCTTAGAGCTCCTTAATTTAAGTTTTACTCAGATTACTCGTAATAGTCTCCTTAAACATTCTTGCAAGATTTTTTGCTAATTTCTTTTTTTATATTCAAACCTTTAATTTGAAATCTACTTTTGATTATAAAGTTGGGTAATTATCAAACTGTACTTGGTTTAGATAAATGACAATTGTACAGCATCATTTTTAAATAGTCGCTCTATCAAATATCAAATTCTGATATATATTTACAATCTAATTCTGAAATTCCTGTTCTGTTTCATTGATCTGTTTCTTTATTCCTGTATCAATGCTCTATTTTTTTGTTTTAGAGTTTGTTTTAATACATGCAAGGCAAATCCTCTTGAACTGTTATTATTTTCCATTCCTTTTGGGCTAGTCTTAAGGACTGTTCTTCCAAATAAACATCAAAATCATTGCCCTCTTTTTGGAGTGAATTTGGAGAGATTTTAAGTCTTCTCATCCAAGAGAACAGTATATCTTTCCACTTGTTCAGATCTTGTGTTTTATCC